TACCAGGGATTGAACCCAAGGGCACATATCCCTGAGCCTCATCCCCAGCCCTTTTCATTTTTTATTTTGAAACAGAGACTCACCAAGCTGCTTAGGGTTTCACTAAGTCACTGAGGCAGGCCTTGGATCTGTGATCCTCCTGCCTCAACCTCCAGAGCTGCTGGGATTACAACAGGCGTGCACCACCATGCCCAGTGATTACTGCTTACTCTTACAGTGGCTGCAGAATAGACACTTGGGAATGGACAGAGGCAGAATGAGGCATTTATTTATCCTGCCTTTCCCATCTRAACTATCCCAAATATTTAATGATGAGTTGTTGACAATTCATCAAGGAGAAGGAAAAGACAAAGAGCATATATCACCATTCTGCAACCTCTGATGGCTGCCCAGGCACAGCACTGGCCTCCATGCCACCAGCAGACCCATGTGCTAACCAGAGCACAGCCACCACCGCAGTGCCTGTTCTGAAAGGCCGAGCCACAGTGACCAAAACTCCAGATCCCCCACGGGTCACAGGAAGTACAGAGGCACATGTTCATGTTCAGTGGAAATCGCCAGAGCCAGATAGGGAAAACTTGAGCACCAGAAAAAAGACCCTGGATTCCAACCATCAAAATGTAAGGAAACTTGCAGACAGAACTCTAATGATTTCAGCTAACTATTGGACTCTGCCTCAAACTAAAAAAAACTGAGACTTCTCAGGAAAATGGAATGGTACTGTAACCACAATATGAATACGGATAAAATCTAAATAGTTTTCTTGATACTTATCAATTTATCAAAAAGAGCTATGTATTAAATCTCACTTTGGATGTAAATATTTCAAACTCTTTTTATCTTCATTTTAATGTTCTAACACGTTAAAGTTTTTAATTTCAAGTGTAAAATGCCACTCAATCACATATTAGAGGTTAAACACAGGGTAGTTTGCTTTCTTTAAAATTCCTAAAGCCAACTAAAGAGCAAGCAGTTCCCAAATCAAAGGATACACTACTGGGAGAAGCAGGCCTGCAAGCTTGGCTGCCAGCACCGCTCCCGCAGTGGGCAACCCTCTAGGCAAGGGGAGAATTGGGGGTTCTCAGAGGACAGGCCTTTGAGGCAGAGTGCAGGCCACTACTCCTGGTTTTCAAACTTTATATCTTTCCTGAGCCATTAGGGATCCTATCTGTTATTCTCAGAATTTAGTGCTACCTTTAAAAAATCGAAAAATAAACGTAAGGAGATAAAAACCAAAACACCGTGCCATATATAAAGAAGACTCTTAAACACATCTGCTGGAAGGAAATTGCTAAAGCCCAAGATGAGTAAGTTCAGGGTGTTTTGCAATTAGGTTGTTTTACACAAAACAAAAAAGTAATAGCTAAAGAAATGCAAACACACTAAAAATGTCTAAAGCCATGCACGCTGTGGCATGCACCTATGGTCCCAGTACTTGGGAGACTGACAAAGGAGGATCCCTGCAGCCCAGGAGTTCAAGGCCAGCCTGGGCAACACAGAAAGATTCTGTCTTCCATTGCAAACAAAACCAAAAACAAACAAGAAGTCACATTTTCTAGTAGCATACCTGTGTGTCATATGTTGTAAGAAGATCTATCGAAGCTTGACCGAGGAGGAAGAAGCTTCAGCAAAGCAAGAAGTGAAGCAGTGTTAACCTTAGCTTCTTCCACAGAATGGAGTTTCGGCCCTCACCTAGGAGTAAGAGCAACACTTGATCAACTCTCATCTGGAAAGCATCAAAGCTTCAAAAAAGGGCTGGGGTTGTGGTTCAGCGGTAGAGCGCTCGCCTCTCACATGCAAGGCCCTGGGTTCGATCCTCAGCACCACATACAAATAATAAATAAATAAACAAGCAAACTAATTAATTTTAAAAAAAGGCTTAAAAAAAAACAAAAAAAAAACAAAAACAGGCTTCTTATAGGTGCATGCCTGTGATCCCAGCTACTCGAGAGGCCCAGGCAAGAGGATTGCAAGTTCTAGGCAGCCTGGGTAACTTAGTCAGATCCTGCCTCAAAATAAAAAAGACGGGGGGTAGCTCAGTAGTACAGCACCTGCCTAACATGCCAGTACTGCAAAATAAATAAATAAATAAACTAAAAAATACAATTTTAAAAACTTTACATTTCTATAGAATGTAAAGATAAACATTTTCAACACTATATGCATATATGGTGTAGATTGCATTTTTCCCCTAACATTCATGGGCTT